AGTTGTTTCTTCTGAGATACCGTACCTTCTCATATTCATGGTCATATTGAAGTGTATTCTTACAATATGGTTAATTATTGATTTTTTCTTTCAAATGGTGTCACATAATAATGTCAAGCTTCAATGAGTAACTCTTACACGTTAAGTTGTGTAAGCATGTCGGATAGTTTGTGGCTAGAGACAGCATTTAAGTCACCTGGATGTAAGTTCTTCAGGAGTCTCTGTCTGCTTTTCTTTTTCATATTTGCGTTGGGAAAATAATAATGGGAAGAAGGTGAACTTGATCCCACACACGTTTCCATAATGGTCGGTAATGATTTTAGTTTTTTTCCTAATTATGAACGAAATCTATTCATCAATCACGATCCCTAGAAAACCGGAAAAAAAATATCTGAATATCGATCTCTGGCTGATTGATTGGTAGTGGATGTGACAGTAGGATGAATGTTCTGTAATTCTAGTGAGGAGTCGTCACTGGCCCACCCCCTCCCTTAAATCAGGTGTGGTGTGAGGAAAAATACTCGCCGATTTTAATATCTCGTGGGTCTGGAGAAATTAGGATTGTCGAGTTACTCAGTTTTCTCTTACAACTCAGTGGCTGTCAACGGACTAATCTCGTGACCCTGAGGGTTCTAGGGATTCGATTCCTGATGTGTGTGTGTGGGGGGGGAGGCGGGGAGTCATGGTTTCCTGTTGCTGAAGAGTCATTCCTTGGTTAGGACAAAACGACCATCCAGTCCTTCGTTTTTTTAATGGTTGTCTAACTGATTAGTTTGTCAGTCGGTGATCGTACCTGGAAAATTAGAAAATTATTAGAACAAGTTTTTTGAACTGTGTGGACCACCACATCTGTGTTTTGTGATGTGAACCCCAAACATCCTTGTAGTATTATATTTTGTGTTTTTCTAAACTTCACACGATACATTTATTTTAATTATCATCATATTCTCTCTCTCTCTCTTCCTTTTCTCCTTATCAGTAGTTGGTCATCATCGTGTATTGACTCAAATGCCTATCGGTAGTAACTTATGCTCTCTACTGTTAATAATAATGAATGTTTTAAACCACTTGGCTACTTTGCTACTATGTTACATTAACCAAACGTTGTTTCTTTTGTTGTTTCTTAAAAAAAATTTTTGTTTCTCTACTTGTCCTGTCCTAATCCCTTTTTGCTGTGTGTGTGAGTGAGCCAATACAAAAAGAGAAGACTGAGGATAACTTCCTCATGTCTCTTCAAGTTATTATCATTGCCCAAAGTGTCTGATTTTCTCCATGTCACCCTTGAACCCCGTGTCTGTTCCTTTTCGGGTTTCACTTGAGCTATGTCATCCGATGGCCTCCTCAATGGCGTGTGTCCGATCCAAGAGTTTCTGATTCCTAATTCTTTCTGACAGCTGTTGATAAACGTCTTCAGTAGCCAGTTAGTTGGTAATGATATTCGTGACACGAATGCAGTGCAAGTTAAGTTTCTGACCCATATAATAAAAAGAGAACTGACCGATTGAATTAACCGATTGTTGTTGAAAATCCCAATTTTGTTATCTATGCTGTAGAGTTCAGAAGATTTCCAAAAATCAGCTACGAATAGACCTTGTTTGTCTCTTGTTTAACCTCTTAGGTTGATGTTCAGAAATCTAATGATGAACTTGCCTAAATGTGTTACGCCTAATGTAACTGGTTCCACAAGAGCAGTCAAACTTATTGGTATGCACATAGAGATGGTCAAATTCGATAGTTTTTCGTGGAGGGATTTTAAAGAGACATTGAAATTTTCCTGAATTGTTTCAGCTTTGTTTTATTATTCCAGTGATGTCTCTGTCTGTCTATCTGTCTGTATTCGACATAGAACTTTGCACCGATGTGCGGCAGTTCAAGTCGCCACACTCCACTCCATGTAGCACACAAAGCAAGAGAAGAAAGTAGAAGAAATGCATAATATAGACAGTAAACAGAGGTGTGGGACAAAGAACAAAACAGTTTAATTGGAAATCATAAGTCACAAGGAGTGGATGCATCTGTGCCCATCCATTGAGAACGATGAGTTTGAGCCATGTCACCAATTGTTTCCAACCATTGGTTTTTACCGTCCCGAGGAACCCAACCAGGAAGCCAGTCTACACCTTCCTACGTGGCTTAGACTAACTGTTGTAGATTTCATTGACTGATGAAGCCATGTTTTGGTTTGACCGCCGCTAGCTCTTTTCCAACCTGACCCTATGTCAGCTAACATTGCCCATTGTCGAGAGAGGCGATGGATGACTAGGCATATGTAACACATGTCCTAACCATCTCAGTCGATGTAGCTTCACAGCCATGTCGATTGATTTCCCCTCATTACCTAGTACTCGACGCCTAACCTCAATATTGTTCACCTTATTATACCACTTCACACGGGAGATAGAACGCAGATACCTATGATCAAAGACAGGTCTCACAACCATAAAGGAGGTCGGAGCGGACTGCTGAGCAGTCCAGTGATGTTATCACATCGGTGAATCAAAACACTAAATTGCGTTTATATATATTTCAAAGGTGTATGGAACTCATAATATGAGCACATTGATCAATCAATATTATTGATTGAGATGAGTAGTAGTGTTTGGTAGGGAGGTCGAGGTGATCTTAGCAACTGACAGCCATCCCTCTCGTTTATGGTTGAGCTCATCATCATCGATGTACCCGACTTAACTGACTATTGAGCTCAGAGAGAGCTGAACCAGTCGAAACTGTCTAATTTCTGACTAACTAGCTAGCTGGTTAGCTACTTTATACATTTCGAAGAGGTGATTCTTATCCCACAGTTCCCTATGGAAAGTGAAATTATTCAAGTCAACACAATATGTGGGATCTGCTTGACACTGATATAAAGGGGTAATCAAGAAATCAAGCATAATTTCACAACTCTATATACTACTGATGAGTAGTTGAATAGCACTCACATCAACAACTCGTAGTGCTTACTAGTCAGATCGTGGGGGTTGCGAATTAATCTGAAAACATTACAAACTTGACTGAACTGTATTACAAGATCTCCAAAGTAGTTATCCAAACTCTGGGCAGTGAGGGGGTTGGGTGGTGGATGGTTTGAAGTGATTCGCCCCTATGAGCTAGCTGAGTAGTAGAATCGACCATGTACATCATTGATGACCTCAGCTTGTCCAATGTGAAGATCATGTTCGTAAGATTTTGAAATAAGCGAGAAGGTTTGTAGATCAGTTGGGTTCTCTGACCTGGTTGAATTCAGTGCGAAGTTCTCGTCATCGTCAAGCGGACCCCTCATATTGTGGTGATTTGAATACCAAAGTAAACCACTGTGGTGAAAATAGTCACCTCCTCGGACTGTGTCAATTTGGAATTTAATTTACTCAATATTATTTAGGAAAAAAAGATAACACACATCCAGATGAGAAAGTTGTTGTCGCAAAAACAATATTCTTTGCGTGTTGAATCTCCGCCTATTTTTTCTTCTAAATGTCTGTGTATTTATAAAAATAATAATAATATCTAACATAATCTGCCTGTGTTTTGCTTCTGGCGCCTGAGTTGATTTCTTTTCCTTTTTTTTCGGTAACTCTAAACTGTACGGTGACCCAAAATGAACGTGTGTAATGACTTTGATCAGCCAATCAGAAGAGCTCATAACTAAAATCGGAGAATATATATAGAGGAGGCAGTAAATGAATTACGCGTTGCAAAGATAGATGTAGTGTTGTATTTGAGTATTGTTGGGGGGGGGGGGATAATAGGCGCTTTTATAGAGGAAGTTTGTAGTAGATGTAGAGGAGGATGAGGAGTAATGTCTCTTTACAGAGGTGTTGTACGTATTTTCTTTTTTTGTAAGGTTCCGGGGGTTGCTGTAGCGCAGTGAATGATTCATGAATCACAGTTATCTGGATTAGCTTGTTATGTACAGAAACATAGGCGGTTGAACAACTATCATTTAAGACTCCAGCAATAGGGAACTAGGAGGTTTTCTTGGGACGCATACAAAGAAATTACTGCGTATAACTATTTTTTTTAACGGTAGCTTTGATTTCTACAAAAGATTGATTAGGTGGATGGTAGAATTCACCAGGATGCGACTTTCGTTCTACTTCGGAGTCGTCATCTAGATGTACCTTCATTCCCCAGTGGATGGTAGGGGTGTTCCCCCCGCACTGAGGCTCGAACCCAGTAGCCATCGTCTCATCAAACTCCAAAGCGTTATCCACTGGACTACTTGGGCCATGAGAGCCACCTCGCCTTTTGTTCAACTTGTATCAGTTATTACTGAATTCAATTTGGATTTTCCCGTAAACTGATTGGACCAAATCAGCTAACGCTTTGACGTTTGGAATGATGGGGTCCCTGGGTTCGAGCCTCTTTGGGTGGGGGGGGGGGAAACCATCATTCACTGACTGGAGAATGTAGGTATGTACATCCAGATGATTGGATGAAATGCGCATCCTGGATTCCATCCACTGCTAGTCACCGTCCATCAAATTATTTCAGCTTTAGACCCTCAGACATTATCGAAACACTTACACAGGGAGCTGACTCGTAGTCAGCAGAGACCGAGCGCCTTGGTCCAGTCAATCAACACGAAAGTCTAAATTGAGTTAAGTAATCTGTAACATAATGTTTTAAATTACGCGTATTTACGGTGGGCTCATCTGATGATTCGCTGACCAAAGTCGTTATTCCCGTTTATCAGGTGGTTTCGTTTTGTGGTCGCCATAGTGCCTAGAGTTACCCACATTTTTTGTTCAGTACAAAAATGAACAGTGATCAAAATTTAAAAAAGGCTTCTTTCTTTTGTTTTTGTTTGTTTGTTTCTAACTGATTTCCACTGAATTGTGTTCAACAACACTACGTGTCATTATTGTTGATATTCTATATCGTTTTGGCTTTGCGTGTGTGCGCGTGTGCGTGTGAGCGCGCCTAGTTGTTCATGCAACACAACACCATGATCTCTGCTTTCATCTTTAATGTTTCTCTCACTCTGTTTGTGTTTCTTTTAGATAATTTTAACGAAGAAGCATCTTTTCTTGGTCAATATTCTGGTATTCGTTCTACAATTCCTAAATCATCCTCATCTATTAATAATACTATGACTTCTACTCATCATCAACATCAACCTACACCCATATTGAATAATGGTTCTTCTATTGTTAAAGAAATTTCTCCAGAATTATCAACTATGGGTGGTATACTTACCACCGCAACAACAACTAGTGACAGTTCTGATCTACTCTTGCGTACAACAAGTACTATTCGAGAGAATCAAACTGCTGTCTAAATTGAATAAGTACTCTTGAAAAAGTGTTGTAATAGTATTGTTACTATTGTTATTATCATTATAAGTGTTGACAAGTTTTTGTGGTTACCCCCCAAACATTATAATTCACCATAATAATGCTTTTAAACCAAAATTCCCTACGCTAATCAATTTTTCTCAGCATCCGCTTATATTACATATTACATATACATAAACCCTTATATATATATGTGTGTACATCATTTGTTAAATATATTTACACATATACACGTACAGCTTTTTTCGTTATTGTCATATCAAAAAGATATACGCTGCGTTTTTGTTTTAATAAGCCAATGTAAGACCTCCATATTATTATTGTTATATTCTATATGTGTAGGCTATTATTATTATATTTTTTGATTTCCCCTCTCTGTGTTTTTTTGTTTTGTTTTGTTGTTGTACATTTTGTACCTTAAAAAAAAAACAATCCAATTATCCATGCACACCACACCTTGCCGCATTCATTCCTTGCTGATGTGTACTATTTATTTTGAGCAACATTGACAATTGAACAACGAAAAACGCTACACTACTACTCCTCCGCATATATACGTATAAATAAATATACTTCTATAATGTACAATCGTAATCAGATTTAAACCAATCAAATCTTTCGTTAAACTTTGTTGTCCTTGTTCCTGATTGGCTTGTCCGATTGACCAATCACAAAATCCTCTCTGTTATAATTCAACTATTCAGTAGTGTGTGGGTGGTTTTGATTGAGAGGTTGTTTGGTTTCTGCTGATGAATACTGCTTACAACAACAACAACTGTAGTGCTTTTGCTGCTTAATTCACCTTTTCTCTCCTCGTCTATCTGTTCATCATAGAACTATTCTTTCGTGTATTATTTCGTCTTTATTCTGTTCGAGTGTTGTGTTGTGTTACGCAACCACGAGTAGTTAGTTTAAGATATGTTTATGCAGTCAACAAAATGCCCTTTTTGGGCTACAATAACACTGAATCACTTATGCCTTCCTAATTGATCCTGTTTTCTTTTTCGTGTTATACTCCGTTTTCGCATATATGAAACTCTTGTCTGTTACTGTTGTTTCAGCCAGCCTCTCCATTTTCTGTGTGTGTTAAACTTTGTTAAATTTATAGTGTAATTTTTTTTCTCGTTTTTGTACGGAAAGATCAAATTTTTTTATATACTGTCAACATATGATTATTACAAGTAACTATTATAATTATTGATATAAGGTGTTGCTTTTCTATTTATTGTTGAGCATTACTCATGTGTATATATCGTTAAACTAGGTAGAGCGGTGAGCGTCAATTCGTTTTTCAACTAATTGAGTTAGTTCCTAGTCTTCCTTACACTCGTTCAGATGATGATTCACCAACTGTGGTTCGAATATCATCTTGATTATGATTTTAAGAATTCTTCATTGGGACGTATTGAATGAATATCGTCAATATCTTAATCTTCAAGTGATTACAACTCAGATGTATGCAAAGGCGTGTGTACTGCTCAACAGTCCGCTTCATCCATCTTTATAGCTATGAGACCTGGGCGTTGAGAGCGGAAGACAAGAAAAGATTAGCTGTCTTCGACCATAGGTGTCCGCGTTCTATCTCCCGTGTGAAGTAGTATAATAAGGTGAGCAATATTGAGGTGAGGCGTCGAGTGCAAGGTGAGTCGGAGGGGAAATCGACAGACGAGGCTGTGAAGCTACATCAACTGACATGGTTAGGACATGTGCTACGCATGCCTAGTCATCCATCGCCTTTCTCGACAATGGGCAATGTTAGCTGATATAGGGTCAGGCTGGAAAAGAGCTAGCGGCGGTCAAACCAAAACATGACACCAGTCAATGAAGTCTACAACAGTTAGTTTAAGCCACTTAAGAAGGTGTAGAATTCCTGATTGGTTGGGTTCCTCGGGACGGTAACCAATGGTTGGAAACAAGTTTTTTTATATTTTTATATTTTTGATTACAGCTTGATGCCACACCGTATTTTCAGTACAAGTATGGAATTTTCAGCATGGATATCGGTAGCCCAAATTTTGCAGGCCAACCATAGATATCGGGTGTGCGTCGGTGGGGGATCGAACCCGGGACCATATGCATGGTCGGCGAGAGTCCTAACCACTGTGCCACCGACGCACAGTTGGTGATATAGCTCAAAGTAATCGTTCTCAATGGCTAACGCAGATGCATCCACTCCTTGTGACTCACAACATCCAATAAAACTATTTTGTTCTTCGATAATACTACTCTTTTTGCCTCATATCTCTGTTTACTGTCTCTATTTTGCATTTCCTCTACTTTCTTCTCTTGGTTTGTGTGCTACATGGAGTGGAGTGTGGCGACTTGAACTGCCACACATATGCGCAAAGTTCTATGTCGAAAGCCGACCGAAAGGCGGAGTCGTTCTGAAGATTATATATATATATATATCACAATGATAACTGAGCATATATAGTTTGAGTACCAAGCCTCAAACAATAGTCTTCTTAGGTGATCAATAGGTACTAACTAATTACAGGTTAGTTGGTATGGTTTCTTCTCTGAATCTTTCAGTAGATTACAATCTATTTCTTCGGATCATATGTGTGTTATGATATCGCCGCTTGGACATAAACGCGGCAATCACGACTGACTGACTGGTTTCAACGTAGAGCTTTGCAGAGAAGTGCAGGAGTTCCAGTTACCACTCTCCCTCCTTGTAGCATACAAAGCAAGAGAAGATAGTAAAGAAGGGTTCAAAAAAGAGAGATTATAAACAGAAGTGTGAGTGAGTGAGGGAAAAAGAAGAATAATATGGAAGAACAATAGAGTTTCATTGGATATGACTGACAAATCATAAAGAGTGAATGCATCCACGCCAAACATTGAGAACCATTTTGAGCCACAAAACCAATTGTCTCCAGTTTTCATTGGATCTTACCAACCCGATGTCCCCAACCAGCCCGATAGTTTACACCTCCCTACGTGGTTGGCTGACTTGAACTAACTGTTATGGATTTCATTGACTGATGAAGCCATGTTTTGGTCTAACCACCACCACTAGCTAACTCTTTTCCAACGTGATCGACCCGATGTCAGCTAACACTGCCCATTGTCGAGACAGGCGATGGATGACATGTCCTAACCATCTCAGTCGATGTAACTTCACAGCCTCGTCGATTGATTTCCCCTCCCACCTACCTAGCACTCGACGCTTTACCTCAATATTGCTCACCTTATTATACCACTTCACACGAGAGATAGAACGCTGGTACCTATGATCAAAGACAGCTAACCTTTTCATATCTTCCACTTACAATGACCATTTCTAACTCACAAAAGAAAGACAGAGTGAACTGCTGGGCAATACAGACGTCCTTCGGTCGACACCCAGCCTGATATCACGTCTACTAAACCAGAAACGGTGTAAATTGGAATATGCTAAACGAGCCTTCTGTATGCGTGATGAGATTTTGTCAGCGATCAACCGACTGGAGGTGGCGGATGCGACTCCCCAAATAAGTCAAGTAAGTGGTCAACACGCTGTACCACTTCACTCCCTGTCATCAAACTAGGAGTCAATTTTGTCCTAGTCATGTTGCCTGATCATCTTACATTTGACGGGAGCAAATCGCATGCCAAACATTCGATGATTGCTGCTCTTCAAGGTGTTCAGAAGACTGCTGGATTTTGTCAGCGTCTTCACTTAGAAGTATTATATCATCTGCATGTTCTAAGTCAATCAGATAATGCCCTGGTAACAAATCAGTCCCTGTGTTGCTGAAGCTAGTTAGGGTTAAGTCCATTGGTACATCTATAGTGAAATTAAAGAGAAATGGGAAGAGTAGGCATCCTTGACAAACATCACTGGTTGTTATTACAGTTGTCAGATGACAACTCTTCGTAGGCTCTCATCTGGCTGACTGCATGGGTTCGAGTAGAATGCCTTGATCAGTGCAACATATTTTCTCGGCATTTCCTTCACAGCTAAACTTCGCTGTAGTACCTCTTGGCTTTCAGGTTGAGAAATGTGACGGCAATCACGAGTCTCGCTAATCTATGCTAACAACACGCATACAACAGCTAAAAGATCTCTCAGCCCTTTACTTAAGCTAAAACGCACAACCGACGTGAGGTGAGTAGTATATTTATCAATATCAGTATCCATAAATAATTACAAAATGTATATATATGTATATATATATATTTATGTTGAAGTCATTTAAAGAACCTTTGAAAACCAGCTAAGGATAGTACTGGACAGCTGTTTCGTCTCAGTTTGGCGAATTTGTGGGCTATTAAATCAGGTCCAATTGGCTAATGAATGGTCTACGAACTTCCCTTCTAGCTGTGGAGGGTCCTGGCTTTGAACACTGATGGGTGGATGCATGCTGCCAACAAGTCCCAACCTGTCCAGCACTCCCGAGTTTTCAATGGTTCTCTAACTGGTATCATTCCATGGTGAAACTTGTTAAAGAGTTTTTGTCGAAAAAGTATCCTATGATAACTAGAACCCATGCAGCCATGTAACTGCCTCCGGAGAGCTATTTTGCTCAAGTGGCAATCATCGGCGTGTCTATTAGGAATGATCAGAGACATTATTCTCATTGGATTCTATTATAAAGATATAAGTGGATGGATTTTTAGCGTTTACATGGATTTACGTTTTTGTACCTTGATATTTTACTCTACGGTCGGAAGGAAGACTCACCAGGTTTAGTCATCTGTGTCTTTCAAGGATTATTCATGTCTATTATTATTATTATTGTTCCCTTGGGTTCCTAGTGGAACATAGGGCCTCAGCTGTACGTCTCCACATGATGGCCACTCCTTCGGTGTGCTCGTGGCTGTCCGCTGGGTGACCGGAATAGATTACTGTCTCTCCAGTTGATAGTCGGCACCTTCCACATCCATTCCATCTGCTCTCGCAGATTCCCAACACTTCTATTCCATACCTTCTCATATCTGCGGCTACCTGGGCAGCCTTTTCAGCTTCGTACATTGTACGAACATTCCACGTGTCCATCCTTATTTTTGCTTTCATCGAAAGGAGGCACATTGGCTGACTGGCTTCCCGAAGGCTTTTACCAGCCTGCGTCATTTCACTTCCCCGATTCCAGCGAAAAATAAGGTTATTGTTTATATTTTTAGTATTTTTAATATATTTATGCGTTGAAGTTTCTGTAGCAATTTGGTTAAGTTTTGCGGGTGGAGTTGCTAGCATCATGCCCCAACCCTCCCTATTTATCTGGGCTTGGGACCGGCTAGAAAACTAGCGAGCTAGTAATCTAGGCGAGTTTATTATTCATGTCCAGTGGCAAATAATTTAGTTTGTCTAGTTTGACCATAGATTGATATCAGTAACAGAGAACCATTACAAACCAGCGCAGGTAGTCCTGGACAGTTGTTTCATCCTAGTCTTTTGAGAATCCTCGGCAGTACGCACCCACCCCCTACCAGGGTTCGAACCCAAGAATTTCCGGTTACAAAGTAAGCTTGTATAGCATTCAACCACTGGGACCCAACCCGGATCAATGGCCCATGAACATTCATGAATTTAACTTGACCACCAACCAAAATCAACTCTTGAAAATAATTTATTGTTAGAATGGTGTATGTTCGAACAAGTTGGACATCAGTTTGTAGACTGCTTTTGATCCACTGGTTTCAGTGAGGGTGAACATGTTTTACGAATGTTGTCGAATCGTCTTCTGTTTCATTCATTATTTGAAGAAGAGCAAGATTTGACTACGTGAGAGGAAAGATATGCGTCGGATGAGTGTCTATGGCTGAGTCATAACACTCTATATAGGTAGGTATAGAGACATAGAGAGATCTGTGGCTTATGAAGGTGACAAATGTGGTTTACTGTCGGATTCAGTGACAACATAAGAAATACCGTCGAGGGTATCTTTAGACTGACGTCACTTATTTAAAAATAGCTGACAAGAAGCTGTGCTTACTCTAATCTTTACTCTTGTTGAGAAAAGAGTAAACTAAGTATACAGCGTAATAAAGTTCGATACCTAATGGGGTGGTTATAATACCTAACCTAATTCACATTGAGTAGTATCCAGAATCCTCTTCGAAATTTCTGCGTTCAGGGATTTGATTGACTTTATTCACGAAATGGCACAGTCAAAGAGTTGTTGAGAATCAAGGAGTACTGGAAAGGCGTCGTTTCATCCTAGTTTAAGTAGGACTCTTCAGCACTACACATAACTCTAACAAGGATCGGGCCCAGATGATA